TGTGCAGAGCCACAGAGCCTGCTCACAACAGTCACTAATTATGCAAACCCGGCTGAGAAGCTGCAGCAGCAAAGCCAGCGCCACATTTCCTGCTTTGTGCATTAAGCAAAGTGCAGAATTTCATTAATTTCACAAAATAAACCCATAATGAAGTGCTGCTGTTAGAGAGGAATTTCCATCTCCTTCCCTAACTCCTCATCACAGGCGCAGGAGAGCCGCCCGCGCCTGCCAGACGGCATCAGTCAGGTGTACTAACAGTTTACTCCTAGCTCTGCTCTCCCCAGTAACGTGTAAGCGTTGCTTCCTTCTCATTTCACTTCCAGAGGTTTTTCTTCTGCTCTAAAGAACCTGGGTTTTCCTGCATCCCTGCTGACAGCTGGGAGGACGGACACGCTTTGGGAAGTGCGGTACCCTAAGCTGGTGCAGCAAGCACCCAGCGAGCTCATGACAAACCCGGGTGGGATGTGGGAAAGGCACTTGTCCCCCGCAAACCCTGATGTTAACGTGCTCCAGCCCCAACTCAGCAAAACCCAAGAGCAACCCCGCGTGCCAGGAGTGGAGCAACAAACTTCTAATAACAGCATTCCCCAACAGCACCATAATATTTTCTACTCTGTGATCACAAGGGCAGCAGGCAATTAGTCAGAGTTAAATACTCCCACTGCTCTGCAGAGATCCCTGAGCCGATGCGGGCGCGAGGAGGCTCCAGCTCTAAGTGCTCCGGCGGCCTCTGCCTTCAGGAAACCGCGCTTAAGAGAAACACATTGGAATTAACTCCAGCCTAATGGAAAGCATTAAACAAAACACACTGAGTAACTTTACAGTCCTCAGGAAACTAGCGAGCGCTGCTGCTTGCCAGAGCTTTGCCATCTTGCTGGCACGCTGCAGAGGGGATGCTGTGACCTGGACACTTCCTCACCATGACTACGGTGATGGCAACAGCCAGTCCCACGAGTTCAGAACACATTACGGTACTCCAGTAAGTAAGGGATGAACTGGTAACACAGGGAAATGTTACAATACACCACACTGTGCAGGGCAGCCTTAAAACAGAGGTGTGTTAAGTCTTCAGACACAGGCAATTCTAAAAGGCACTTTAAAGCATTTAAAAAACCCAGACTGAAGTAGCAGTAGGTCACACTGACTGGTCCCCACCTGGAGTGGTACTTTGATGAACAAATCTGTCACTAGCTGTCTGTGACACTGAGCTACTGGGGCTGAGGTGGCATTGGGGTAGCAAGCGACAGACAACGCACTGCCTGCACCCACTCTCTGCTGGTGTGGGTGAATGCTTCCCAAACCAGTCCAGCCCTCAGGCAATTCTCCAAACCTTCAACATCTTCTCTGTGCTTTAGAGAAAAGGCAGGAAATAGCTTGATGTCAAGCAGAAGAGGAGAATGTCACCATTCTGCCAGCAAAGCAAAACGGTGAGAGCACATCAGAGATGTCTGCGAGGACGCGACTCAAGGCCCAGCACAGCATCATCATGGAATCCCTTCCCATGTAAATAATGCTCCATGCAGTTTTGTAGTTGCATTTATTTGCATAGTACCAAGCAATAGCTAAGCCTAAAAATATGTAGTAGGTTGATGCTGGATGTCAGACTGGAACTGGGGCACTGCTGCCTCGCCCCTCCAGAAAAGCCTCAGCACACGAAGCAATTACAACTTGGCTTTCCTACAGTGGAAATTCTGGGCTTTGCCCAAGAGGGCCTGTAAATACAGAACCTGTCAGAAACAAAAGCCCTAGGTAGCATTTTCCATTTCCGATGTTTAACTTTTTCTTCTTCCTCGTCCCGTGTCATTAAGTGTTTACCAGGATGATTAATGACTGCGGCTGCCAACTCCATTAATGAAAGGCAGCTCTGCTCAAAGCTGCAATCCCGCACCTGGCAAGCGCTGTATGGAAACAAGGTTACCCCAGCACCCTTGAGCCCCGGCACCCACCGCTGCTCCCAGATAACCCGGTCACTTCCCAGAAGACCCAGGATGCATTTCCTGCATCCTGCATCCAAACCAGATCCACATTCACAAGCACTAAAGTGGTCAGAGCAAAGGACAAGCACCACTCAAGAGCACAGCAGAATTTCCTGGCAATGAACTGATTTAGCCTAATGTGAGGAATTGTATGAAAACCCCCTGTGTGTCCTCCCCCCCCGAGAAAGAAGAATAAGCACACGTTCCCTTCACAGGCACCTCAGAAAATGTACATCTGTAATTAAATTGCTTGGCTAAACTTATGATTTTCTATCTCATGTGAAAAAACAACCCTGAATTAGAAGGAGCACTTCCTTCTCCAGGAAATATAAAACCACTATAAACTTGATTTAAGACGAGATGACAGCTTGTTCTATCAAACATATCAGTTAAAACCGCACAAGCTGACGGAAAGCAAACACCTTGATAACGTGTTCTAAGCATTTGGAAATGCTCCATTTCTCTCGCTGCTCACTGCGTTATTTTACTAAGTGTAAAGTCAACCACCATCTACCCGGCTCTCAGAGGACACCTTCTCCATCCCAATTACCTGATCCACAGCAGCACAGATCCATGATGCAGATGGAAGAGCTCAGAAATAAGTTATTTGCTGCATTCCATGGCGATGCCCTGGTAAAGGAAGGAACAAGCCCTGCGAGACGGGACACTCAGGTTTCTCCGACGGCTTGAGGACACCAATGTCACAGACACTCAGATCCATAAGTTACTGCATTTGTTTTCCTTCTTTCCTCTCTTTCACTAAACCTCCCCAGTGATGTCTCACAAGCGGTGCCAGCGGGTCTGCATTAACACAAAGATTCTGGAAGCACTGCTGTACAGAACACATCTTTTTTTTCTTACATGTCGTGCCTTCACCAGCACAGCCTGAACACCTGTGTACTCAGCTGAAAAAACAGATTCCCTTCTGAATGACTCTGAAATGTAGTCCAACATTATTATTCAATTATAACCTAAGAAAAATCCCAGTTTTGTAACAGGGAACAGAATTAAACTTTCAGGTTGGGGGTGGGGAGGGAAATAAATCTGCAAGCTAAGCTCCCTCCTCCCCCGTAATTAACACGGATTTGCCAAGATTTCATCCAGACACAAGATTCTGCCTTTTTCTTCTTTATTCTCTCCGAGCTCACAAAGCCAAAACTCTGGCCACAAGAAGGGCTCTTCCTTCTAAATAATGCAACTGTGACCCACACCTAACACGGTGGCAGAGGCAGTGCCAGAGACAACCCGGGTACAGACCCAGCTCCTCGTCCCCATAGCGGGGCAGTGACAGGCCCTGGACAGACACAAGGGCTGTGACAAACCTGACACCCAGGAGGACAGAAGGGGGCTGGTCTTGGATTTTAACATGCCAGTGGTGATGTGGGGTTAGCAGCAAACAACCCAGCTAGAGTTAAGGTGACTCCAGCAGTGCCACTCAGTTCACTTTTTGCCTCTCTGGAATGCCAGCCCTTCCTGCAGAAGGCAGGCTCCCAGACCTTCCCCCTGGCCTGATGCGCCTCCCGAGCTCCTACACTTTCCCGTCTGCATTATGCTTATGAATAATGAAGGTTTCCAGCTACATGAACTTCCTTTGCCACATTCCACACTCTGGGAGGCTGCACGGCCCAAACACTGCTCAGAAAGAGAAGCTGAAAGCCCGTGTGTATAAACCCAAACACAATGCTCTAAACCAGGACAACAGAAATACTACAGAAATGTGACTAAAACCCAACAAGCCGTTTCCAATAACAAGGAGCAGCATCACTCTGCCAAACCTCTGCAGGGAGCTTTCTTCCTCAGCTGTCTTTGTCAAAACATCATTTTGTGGAGCCGCTGGAATCGCTCTTACTCCATGCTCGGTTCCCATTAGTATAAACGCCATCACGGAACAAATTGCAACCCACATTTTCTACAATTTGCATTTCAATTTGAATGACCCAAGACAAAAAGCATCTACACAAAAGAGCCAACACCAGCAACTCCCCCAAAGACCCAATGAATCCTGTCACAGGACTTGGTATGATAAAAATAGATGCTCGACTTCAACTCATAGACAGAAAAAGTGGGGGTGAAAGGATTCCAGCTTTAGAAAACACCCATATAAAGCGATGCATGTTTGATCTGCACTCAGCAAACACACAGATGAACGGATCCATACCTGACTCTGTGCTCACCTTGGCACTGGTGGTCAGTAAGCTCAGTTTTTGTTAACGTGTTTAGATGTCACAGACACTCCATCAGAGGGACCAGAACAGTTGCTCTGCAACAGGCACACACTACATGGAGTTTTACAGGAATTCCTCAAAGATGATGGCTTCTGTTATTAAGTGATTCCCCACAGTGCTACTGAAAACTACAGCTCCACTGTGGGCACTGCTATGTAACCTCCAGCCCTGCTGCCCAGCAGGAACAAGGGCAGGGATGACACAGCTAGCTGGATTGTTCTTTGGCTCTGCATCAGCCCACCACACACCTGGATTTTAAATGCTTTGGTTTAGTTTCAGTGAACCTAACCATGGTGCATTAACAGCAGATGTGCAAACTGCCAGTCAGGGTAATGGGATTCCTGTATGCAACACCCAATTCCACATGTCCCCTGTCCCTAACCAGGTTTCTCAGACAGGAGTCAGCTGTTTCTCTCCCAGGATAAAGCACATTCGCCAGCTTTCCGCTCACAAGTCTTTAGGCACAGTAAGATAACACCTTGTTTAACACACTACCGAAACACCTATCTAATTTGACACAGTTTTGAGTCACAGCAGTAAGATACAAGATTTGACTCTGAGACAAGTGACATACACACACACGAGCACTAGACTCCTACTATACTAGCAGTCAACTTCCACATTTGCCTCCAAGTTGGTTTAAAGTTCACCTGCAACATGTGCTAGGGCTTTGTTATTTGCACAACAGGTTCCAGAGCCAGGGAATTCAGATTCTGTTACTGACGCAGCACACTCCAGAACCAATCCCTAAGCATCAAGCAAGCCGGTAGGTTCAAGGATAAAGAAGAGATTTAACTACCTCGTTAGTGTTCCAGCGGTGCCTCTCCTTCGGTAAACTTGAACATTTTGGGAGACATTCAAGCAGCTTCTTCGGTAAAAAGATTTTTACATGACTGCCATTGCTGTTCCCATGATCATCTGGAAAGAAGAGGAGAAATGTGATGTGCACACGGCAGAAAAAGTGGTTCCCATAGGAGACCTGCATACAACAAGCCCTATAAACCCACCGGTTCCCTTGTCAGAGAGCAGGGAACTGGTCACTGCACACAGGAATATGGCTTTCTGTTGAAACACCACCTTTATTTCAGAAATAGAAGTACAGTTTAATTCCTTGTGGTTGTCAGGTTGGAGCTGACCCCTCTCACATCTGTACATGAGGAGCCTGTGCGTGTGCTTACCTCTGCTTATTTTAGCTTATTCTTTCCCTCTGTGACAAAGTCCACAGGCAATAGGGACACAATGTCAGGGAAGCAGCGCCCACAGCAGCACGACCCGCCAGGGAAGGCATAAATGAACTTCACACTCGACAGGATTTGCAAGTAAATAAGCACAGAGCCCCAGCACCTGCTATAATTTTGTCAAGCTGCAGCAGAAATGCAACTCAAGGTCTGTTAGTTCATTTATCACTAAAATGCACTGTACCACATTACAAACTGGTTACTTTTCTTTCCATGGACCGCTCCAAGTGAATGGAGCTCCTCAATGTGAAAATGAGGTAGAGGGATGGAAACCTCCCGACCCCCCTGTACCCCAGGGGTCAAAAGCAGAAATACTAAAGAACACAAAACTATTCCTTGTTTTGTTGCTAAAGACGCAGAAACTGCATCAGTTCCTCTTAACATCCAAAAAGGCAACCCGAAAAGCCCTGCAGTCCAATAACAGCCCCAGAAGCCTTAACCTGATTGTTTCTTTCCATCCCCCCTCCGCCACCACCTGAGGAATCAGAGCATCCACACATACGGTGCATGTTTACAGACCAAACTGGTCCCTGCAGAACAGGGAACTGGAGCAGCAGGGTAAGACACCAGGGATCTGCTCATTCTCCTTCCCAAACCATCTCTGCCTCCCAGCACCATCCTCACACCTCACATGAGGTCCATCAGGCAACGGTACATGAGAAGTCCCCTTACTCACTGGCATTTTACCCTGCAAAACTGAGGTACAGTTATCTCCCATTTGGAAGTGCACAGCAACAGGATATTAACTTTTTCTTTTTACACATCTCATCATTTCATGTCATTAAACAGATGCTGGTGTCATAATAAACCTCTGCACTTAACCACGACACAGACACTACCCGTGATCTGTAGCAACCCCAGGCCCCATCCCACACCACCCAGGCAAGCAGGGAGCAGAGCAGCAGCAGCGAGACAGCCTCGTATTTCTAAAGCCTGATTATACTCTTGGATGTGTCAAGTTCAACAATATACATGCTGTTAAATCAACTACTCGTGCAAGCACAGCAGATGAGTTTACAAGAAAAGCAGCGATGTGTATGATAAACGTGAGCTGTTCTGTAATTTATGAGTCCTGGGTGCTCCCTGAGTTACTGGGAACTTTCCTGTGCGACTGCATTAGAGTCAATCAACAAAATCCATCCTTCTGCCTATGCCAGTGCTGATCTTCACTGACCTGATCAAGAAATTGGGAAGAAGGGTCTCTCCATTAATTGTCACTCCAGCATTTGCAGCTTGACATTGACCACCTCAGGGCGTTTTAGTCACATCTTTTTTACCAGTCAGTGTTCTGGATGCATGACCATCACCTCTGTACTTAATCTCAGACTGGTTTGGGTTGAAAAGACCTTAAAGCTCTGCAGTTCCAACCCCTGCCACAGGCAGGGACCCCTTCCACCAGAGCAGCTTGCTCCAAGCCCCTGTGTCCAACCTGGCCTTGAGCACTGCCAGGGATGGGGCAGCCACAGCTTCTCTGGGCACCCTGTGCCAGCGCCTCAGCACCCTCACAGGGAAGAGCTTCTGCCTAAGAGCTCAGCTCAGTCTCCCCTCGGGCAGGTTCAAGCCATTCCCCTTGGCCTGTCCCTCCATCCCTTGTCCCAAGCGCCTCTCCAGGTTTCCTGCAGCCCCTTTAGGCACTGGAGCTGCTCTAAGGTCTCCCCTTCAGGAGCCTTCTCTTGTCCAGGCTGCCCCAGCCCAGCTCTCTCAGCCTGGCTCCAGAGCAGAGCTGCCCAGCCCTCGCAGCAGCTCCACAGCCTCCTCTGGACTTTCTCCAACAGCTCCACATCCCTCTTGTGTTGTTGTCCCCAGACTTCCCACCACCCTGGCCACTCAGAGCTTCACTAACACCTACACTGCAACACTTGGGGTTATCCACAAAGACCCAAACTTGCTTGAGGCAAAGAATGGTGCTGGACAAAGCCCCACCACGACAGCAGCCCCCAGCCATTCCCACCTCTATGTGCAGATCCACCACCTGATTCAGGTGGTACCTACTTTATATTCCCCATGTTAATTTTATTCCATTTTCATTTCTCATTCAAAATATTGCACTGCACTACATTCAATTCATTAAGGCAGCAAAGTATTTTACAGCACACATTATTGCTTTTATCAGCCAAACTACATCCCCAGTTACATCTCATCAGCTTATTTTCCATGGGCACATTTTAATTGACATTAATTGTATTACTTCCCTTACCTCCGTATCAGTCAAGTCCTCTATCACTCATTCCATTATTGTGCAAGGCTGGCAGACCTCTAATTATTCAGCTCATTTTATTAACTTTCTTCCACTGTCATCAATTATCAGTATTATTAATCCAGAAAGCGCCTATGGATAATAGATCCCTTAAAAATGTTTTGGTGCAAGTTGTCAGAACTTGCTGACTCCAAACCTCCCAACTCCTGTTGTCGGCATCTTGGACATGTTATTATAGCCATGGAAGGTCATCTTCCTCAGTCTGTAACGTGACTACATCTCACATTTCCTTCCCTCTCCTGTGTTCAGCAATGACATTTCTTCATTCCAAATAATCCCCAACGTGGAAAACAACAACTGCCTCGGATCTGATGGGCTTTTCATTACAGCATCCTCCAGCCTTGTAGTCAGAATGACACAAAGTCAGGAAAGAAAGAAAGGAAGTGCATCCTGAATTGAGCGACCTCTAAAACAGGTTTGACCTTGGAAAAGGACAAAGTTGGCCAACCAGCTATGAGGGATAAGAACAAGAAAGCGCCTGGTCCCAAGTGATGCATATACATTTGCAATAAATCATGCTTCTCCACCTGTCAGAACCATTCCTGATCTGCTCCCAGATGGAGGAAGGTCTATGGAGGTGAAGTGGAAGCCGTGCACAGAGGAGGAGAAGGATTGCTCTCCCGGCTGCACTAAGGCTACCAGCAGACTGTGGTCACCCAGCACCTCCACTCTGCCACTCAGCTCCCCTTGTAAAGCATTCACCATCAGCACATCCCCAAGCACCGCATCTGCCATCCCCACCATGGGCTGGCTACCAAGAGTTCACCTTGCTCCAGAGGAGCCGTGTCCCTCACTAGTAACATCACAACCCTTCCAATTAAACCACCTTTAGGGAGGTAGAGCAAAAAAGAAGTAGTTGTCCTGTGGCTTGAATCCAGTCTGTCATTTTTAGTCACCCCAACGTACCCATTCACCTACCAAAGCATCTCCTGATGGAGCCAGACAAGACAGACACTGCTCAGCACCCACACCCAACTTGGAGCAGCCAGCACACGCTGGCCCAATACTTTACATTTCTTCAGAGCTAAAACTTCCTCTGTAGTTAAGTACCTGCACCACCACAAAGCTTACCTAAGTTAGTGTGCAAAGGCCAGGTTTGCACCTGAGCTTGCTTTCCTGTATTAGCTTTGCCACGGGTGACCTACCCAGCATCAGCACAAAGTGCTTGTGCGAGCAGAGCTGCACTCACATGGGAGGATCAGTAAAGCTGCACTGACATGGGGTGGGTGTTTCAAACACACTTCCCAAGGCACACACAGCCTGCTCTAGAAACTACAACACAGAAACTACATGCTAAAATACAGTAGCCTGCCATGCATCTTGTCAGAAATTCAGTATTTAAGCCCCAAATTTAAGCTCCATGGGCAATCTTCACGATTACTTACTATCAAACCAGACACTCATGTGAAATTAAGAAAGTACAACTATTACGAAGTTCATGGAAAGTTCCATATTAATTATACCACATAAACCCTTCGTGATTTTATGGGTCTCTTCATGCTCCCTGCACTTTATCCTCCCAAGGGATGCAGCACGGGCCATAAAGCTTTAAAGCACACAACAGCAAATCACACAGCGAGTCTGTGCTCGACCCCCCTCTCCAAACAATCTCCCCCTTCCTTCTTCAGTTGGATCTTAAATCTTCTGTGATCCAGGAGGTGAATCTGGATCTGTGGACCATTTAACTAGCACACTTTATCAATAGAACGTATAATTGGAGAATGGGCTGAATGGGTGTTGATCAGCTGCTGATTTGTGCACAGTTCTACACTGGAAATAAAGAATAAGCCTATAAAACCACAAACACAAGTTTTATAAGCCCATTATGATGAAGTAATGACTTAGGGCTGGCTACCTTCCCCACTGCCTCACAAGAGAGGTAAATGGTGTTTAAACGTTACAAACAGGCTCTTTTGTACAAAATGTCGCCAGCAATTCATTTGGTTTAGCCCTTCCATTGACTCCCTCACCCCTTGGTCTTCACTGGAATTCCATCACCAAATTCAACCACAGTGAAGCTAAGGAAAAATGAACGTTGTGAGTGAGTGAGGCCCAGCAAAAATCGACCTCACCAACCACAATGAAGCTGAGGGGGGGTGGGTATTCCTAGCTGTGCCCAGTAAAAATTAACCACTCCTTATACTGCTTTCCATCCTGTAAATGTTCTCAACACCACAACACATTTACCAGAAGTCCCAAAGTATTGGCTGAGGCTGGTGAAATTTACTCTGAGCCTACACACAGGCAGCCACCAGCCACAGAAAATATCCTTGGGATTTGTTTATGCTGTGGACAGTTTGAGTTTGGAAGCCCTCCAGAGACCTGGCAGCAAAGACCCCAAACCCTTTGAACCCAAGATGTCACAGGAGCAGAGGAAGGATGCAGGATGCTGGGCTTTCCATTCCTGGTGACAACAGGAGCTT